GGAAGGTCAGAGGTTGATTCTCAAAAGGTGAAGGAGGTGGAGTGATCTTAGATGCCTCTTGCAAGACACTAGATGGAAAAGTTGGGAGAGTTTGTTTGGGAAAGAAGATATTTTTCCCCTCTTATCTAAAATTAGGCCTCCTAAGACTGGCCCTGAAGGAAAACCTGTTTTTGTACTTTGGAGCTAGGCCTAAGAAGAGCTTGTCAGCATGTTTTCTATTATGTTTTGTTTTAAATCTGTTGGATCACGCTGGCACCCTGGTTGGGACTGAGCCTGAGCCTGAATCATAGATCCTTCCATCAGGATTTTTTCCCCCCACATTTTTTATTGGTGCATTATTGTTGTATACATGGTAGGATTTGTTGTTACATATTCGTACATGCACACAGTATAACAGTATAGTTCAGCCAGTGTAACTCCCCAGTACTTTCTCCTCCCTCCAGGATTTTTTTTTTTTTTAATTCCTAGTCCTGTCTTCTCCCTTCCCCCAAGAGCCAGATTGGAGGATCCAGAGTTCATTCCCAGCAACGATTTTTCTTTGTGTGAAATTCTAATGTACACAATTTACTTTGAAGCAACTTACTCAGCAGATTTTCTCCCCTATAGCCTTTTTTTTAAAAAAATATTTTTTTAGTTGTAGTTGACATAATACCTTTATGTTATTTATTTATTTTTATGTGGTGCTGAGGATAGAACCCAGGGCCTCACTCCTGCTCTATTGCTGAGCCACAACCCCAGCCTCCCCCCCCCCAATAGACTTTTGAATATGCATGAACTGTGAGTCATTCCTAGTGGAGACAAGGAAAAAAAGAAAAGAGGGAACAAGGGAGTGAACAAGGAGGCAGAGCAGGTTTGGAAGAGCTAAAGGAATCTGAGATCAAGTTTGCTGTGCTGGTCAATCAAGCAGAGAGGGAGCTGAAACCCTTGTAACCCGAGGTGGCAGGCACAGGCCCTGGCAGGAGTGTTGCCTGAGCAGAGTTATGGTCATGTCATGCAGCTTGGCCTCCTGGCAAGGGTGTAGGGAAAGAATCTGTTGAGGGGTTGTCTCAGAGGTTCTGTATTCTCTGTCTTGGGGACCTCATTGCAACACAGAGGGCAGGTGTCAACAATTTCAAGAGAGGTCAGGACCAGTGTTCAGCTGGGGATGTAGAATTCAGTCCTTGCATTACTTGAGGGAATGTAGGTCTCCTGCCATAGTCAAGGCTGATGTTCTTTTTTTTTTTTTTTTTGTCTTTGGTAATGAGGATTGAGTGTAGAATGCTACACCCCAGGGCCCCACTTTTTTTGGTACTGGGCATTGAACCCAGGAGTGTTTAATCACTGAGCTACATTACATCCCCAGCTCTTTTTATTTGTTATTTTGAGACAGAGTCTCTCTAAGTTGCCCAGGCCAGCCTGTTACTTGTAATCCTCTACCTCAGTCTCACAAGGAGCTGGGATTACTAAAGGCTGGTGTTCTTGTGGAAGCTGGGGATGGTGTTAGTGGTTTGAAAAAAGCTCAAGTACTTGGTTTTTCAAGTATAAGCAGTGAATATTTGTCTTTTGTCCTCTCTTAAGTCTTCTGTGAGGCCCTGGGTCCTGGCTCTGTCTGGCTCTGTCTTTCCCTGGCTTTGAGGCTGTAGGTTCCTGGCAGTCATCCTCAGTGGTCTTGCCCATTCTGAATCATGCCGCATTGCCTCTGCATGTTCATGAAGTATTCTTCGGACTGCCCTATTTAGCTCACCTCAGCTTTCTGTCTTCCTCTTCCCTCACCTATGGCCCACTGCCTTTGTGCAGTGGGATTGCCTGGCTTCTCTGCTGACAGACTCTTTCCTGGGCTTTTACAGTGAGCCTGCTGGCCATATCATATGAATGGGGTTGATTCTGCCCATCCAAAGCCAAATGAGGGCTTTGAGCAGAATAGGAGTAGGATACGGAGCTCCTGGATCTTTGGCTCAGTGGGAACTGATGATCTGTGAAATCTCCTCTAGCTGCTGGTCTCCCAAGGAACATACAGCCTTCCTTTTTCTCCTGTGGTGAATCATCAGCCATTGTGCTGTCCAACCAGCAGAGCTCTGTCCAGAATTTCAGAAGTTCTCTGGGTCCAGTTAGGTTCTTATCAGTGCTTAGCCTCAGTTAGCTCTGCTTAATTTATGTGCCTTTCTTTGCTATCTCTGTGCATTCAAGATCCAAGTGTTAGTTCCTTTAGTTATCACCTGGGTTACTCAGTGACCTTGGGTACAGCTAAGCAGGTAGGAGGAAGTTAGAACTCCTTGCTTGCATGTGCTTACCTGGCTCCTGTGGCAAGGCTCGGGACCAGACCCAGATGACAATTTCCAGGTTCTCTCCAGCTTTGGAGTGCATGGTGCTGATCTGCCTCAGCAGCATTGCTGGTCGGAGATCTCAACTTCAGGCCAACAGCTCACTGACTTGGAATTGTTTTATCAAAACAATAATCGATTCAGTTCCTTGTTGAGTCCTGATAACTATTTAGATCCAATTACATCTAATTGTGAAGCATTTACCTAAACCAGCCCGGTTCTGGGTGCAAGATAGAAAGGTAATTACCCAACAGGACCTCGAGTTCTAGGGGATTAATGGGAATATGAATTCTCTGGTGGGAAAGGGGAATATAGTATGGTACAGGGAAGGTCATTTGGTCTTCACCCTGAAGAATAATTCAGAATTTAGGGAAGGTGTGATTCTGGGCACAGAGAGCAGCATTTGCAGTGGCATCGAGGATAAAACAATTGGCATTTTAAGGAACAAGACCTTTTTATTTATTGGGCACAAGGTATGTGTGTTTGTGGGGGGAGAAGAGCAGTGGGAATGATGTTGGTAGAATGGACTGAGCTAAATGGGGAATGAGGAGGTCAGTGGCAGGGAATGGATCAGCATGGTCAGACATGGGCACGTCTTACCCTAGTTTGACTCTGTGGAGCTGGCCTTAGGTTCCATTCCTTAGCAGTGAAGCCTAATCAGTACAGTAGCATTGTAAAAATGCCAAGACTGTGTTAAAAAAAAAAAAAAAAAGATTGTTCAACTAATAAAGCTAAGAATGGGCAAATGATCAGAATAGACACTTCTCAAAAGAATAGTACAAGCAACCAACAAATACATGAAAAAGAGCTGTGTCGTTAGCTGTCAGGGCAAGGCACATCAAAACTACAACAAGATATCTTTGCACTCCAATTAACACAGCTGTTATAAATAATAATATTAATGAATGCTGGTAGCCAAACGTGGTGGCACACTCCTGAAATCCCAGCTATTTGGGAAGTGGAGCAGGAGGATTCCAAGTTCTTTAGTGAGACCCTGTCTCAAAATAAAATAAAAAATGGCTGGGGATGTGAGTCAGTGGTAGAGTGCTCCTAAGTTCACTTCTTAGTACCACTGGGGAAAAAAATGCTGGCGAGGATATGGAGAAATAGGAATCCTGATATGCTGCTGTTGAGAATGTAAATTGGTTCCATCATGGAGAATAGGATGGAGGTTCTTCAAAAAACTAAAAATAGCTGGATGTGGTAGTGCACACTAGTAATCCTAGCTACTCAGGAGGCAGAGGCTGGAGGATCAAAGTTACCCTGAGAATGAAAATAGAGAGGGCTGGGGATGTGGCTCGGTGGTCAAGTGCCCCTTGGTTTAATTCCCAGCACTGCAAAAAAAAAAAAAATCAAATTAAAAAACCCATGAAAAAATAGATCTACCACATGATTCAGCTGTCCCTCTTCTGGGTATATGTCCAAAGGAAATGAGACCAGTATGCCAAAGAAATGCCTGCACCCGGTGTTTATTGCTGCAGTATTCACAACAGCTAAGATGTAGAGTCAGCCTAGGTGCCCATTAATGGATGAGGGGACAGAGAGAGAGTGGCTTATATACCCAAAGGAGCATCATTCAGCAATGAAGAATGAAATCCTGTCATGTACAGCAAACAGATGGAACTAGAAGATATGGAGCTAAGTGAAATAAGTCAAGCACAGAAAGACAAGCACTACATTTTTTCTCACATGTGGAAGCTGAGCAAACTGACCTCACATAGGACAGCGTCTACTGGAGGCTGAGAAGGGTTATATGTGTGTGCAGGAGCAGTGGTTGGAGGAGCTGGGTTTGACTGGGGTATGCCATATGCATGTGTGGAAGTGTCGCACTGACCAATTGATATGTATTAATTTTAAAGGTTTCTTTTTTATACCTTTATTTTACTTATTTATTTTTATGTGGTGCTGGGAATCGAACTCAGGGCCTCCCACGTGCTAGGCGAGCGCTCTACTGCTGAGCTACAACCCCAGCCCAATTTTAAAAGTTTTAAAAGGAGTTTGTGCCTTTTAGGAATATAGCTTAAAATACTCTTGGATGAAATGACTTGCTTTGAGATCCTGCGGGAAGGTGAAAGTATGTAGGGCAGTTGGTGGAGCCAGATTAGCTCTGCTATTAAAGCAGGGTGATGAATACACAGGGGTTTGTGTATCCATTCTATTTTTTTATGAAGTTGAATTTTTCCAGAGTGAAAATTTAAAAATGATTATGTGGATGAGTATGCTATTTACAGCTTTATCACTTTACTCATTCAGCACTCAGAATTTAATTAAACTTCTACTTAAACAATTGAGTCAGACTAGGTGTTTGGGAAGCTTAGCATGTTGGTGTCAGGGCCTGGGCCTGGTGAGGACGTGCAGTTTGTTCTAAGCGTAGATCACTGGCATCATCTGCTGGCTCTACACATGACAGCATGTCTCTGATGGGAGGCTCTTCTAGACAGCCTTTGGGATCCTTCTCATCTTGTTTCTAGTACAATCATTTTTCTACAGCAGGGCCCCTCTCGCTTCCTCCCAGGCACCTCCTCTCCATTCTCCTTCAGTTTCACAACTTATTTTTTTCGGTACTGGGGATTGAACCCAGGGGCGTTTAACCACTGAGCCATACCCCAGCCCTTGTTATTTTTTATTTTGAAACAGGGTCTTGCTAAGTTTCCCAGACTGGCCTTGAACTTGCGACCCTCCTTCCTCGGCCTCCGGAGTCTCTGGGATCACACAGGCACCACTGCACCTGACAGGCCGTCCCCCCAACCTCTTCTCCTTTCCCCACTGATTTCAGTCTGGCCATGTTTGACTGCCCCCTCCGCCTCAGCGACTGCCGCTTCCTCTCGCCTCTCTCCTGAGTGTCCCAGTATTAAAGTCCAAACCCTTGGTTTCTCCCAAGGCCCTCGTGACCTGAGCTCCTTGTGTGCTGCCAGGCGGGGCCTATCATGGCTTCCAGCAGTGTCTGCACCACTGTCCTCCCCTCTGTTGTCCTGACCTCCCTGCAGCCCTGTTCCTCAGACAGGGCTGAACAGCTTCTCCATGTGCCCGTAGTGTCTTCAGTCCCCAGAAAGAAGGAAAGTTGGACACTGGTACAACATCGGCATATTTGCAGGTGCGTCCCTTCACTAAACTGGGCTCCTAAAGTTAGAGTTTGGCTTTTGCTCATTTCTGTGACCCTATAGCCTGGGATTCATAGGGCACTAGACTGTGTCAGTAAGATGTGCGTTGTGAGCCACACTGACCTGGGTACCATGGGCCGCCTGTGGCACAGCTGTTGCCTCTTGCGCCTCTTTCTGTCCTCAAACACACTTTCTTGTTCTCCTCCAGGAGGAAAGATCTCCCGAGGATGGTGTCCCACCCAGAACTGAAGCAGCTTTTCTGCACGGCTGATGCAGTGTGTTTCGACGTGGACAGCACTGTGATCAGAGAGGAGGGGATCGACGAGCTGGCCAGGTTCTGCGGCGTTGAGGATGCTGTGTCAGAAATGTAGGGACAGTCTTCACTCACTGTTTGCATGGTGGACAGGGTTATAGCACAGCTCTCTGGGGAGAAATGCCAGGCCCCAGCCACCATTCTTGGATTTGGTTGTGGGTGGAGCATGACAAGCGCTGAGCATTTCCTGCCCTCCCTGAGAGCTGACTGGTGGTGTGCCTTACTCACTCACCCATCATCGTGAATGATGGTGACATGTGTCATGGCACAAAATAAGAACACTGGGTCCGGCAGACCCACAGCCAGCCATGTTCTGAGCTGGGGCAGGAGAGCCACCCACAACCATGACCAACCAAAGACACAGCCTGGGGGTCCTTGGGGTCCGGCACCTGTGTCATGGCTGAAAGTGTGGCCTTACCCTGTGAGGTGGCCCACATCTGTCATCCTAGTGACTCAGATGGCCGAGGCGTTGCAAATTTCAGGCCAGCCTGGGCAACTTAGCAAGGCCCTGTCTCAAAAATAAAACATAAGCTGGGCACAGTGGCATTCACCTTTCACCTCAGCAACTTAGCAAGGCCCTAAGCAACTTAGTGAGACTCTGTCTCAAAAAAGAAAAGGGGCTGGAGTCGTGGCTCAGTGGTTAAGTACAGCTGAGTTCAATCTCCAGTACCAGAAATAAATGAATAAGCAAGTGTGGCCTTGGTGGTTCTCGGGAAGGCTCATCTGTGAGCTTCCTGGGGGGTCAGAACCCCACCCCCCACCTGCCTGCAGCAGCCACTCCACCTGTCATAGCCCCTCACCAGGTCAAGAATATCTTGTCCTTGGTCCCTTCTTGGTTTACAGGCACTCAGGGCTTCCAGGGAAGGTGCCTGGAAGAGGACGATGGCTTCTCAGAGCCTGCAGGGCAGGTTGTGGAGGCACGGTGTGTGGTCTCCGAGGCCCAGCGCTGCTCAGTCAACCTCAGGAGTTTATTCTGAGGCCTCGCCTCCTATAGCAACAGCATCACTGTGGTCCCAGGGTTCCTGCCAGTACCTTGCTCACCACAGGCATTGTGAGAACCCGGGGCATGTGGGTTTTAGGACTGCTGACGTGACTGGCCTGACTGTTGGGTCTTTCTCCTAGGACACGGAGAGCCATGGGTGGGGCAGTGCCTTTCAGAGCTGCGCTCACTGAGCGCCTGGCACTGATCCAGCCCTCCAGGGAGCAGGTGCAAAGGCTCCTGGCAGAGCACCCCCCACACCTGACACCCGGCATCAGGTGAGAGCGGCCTTGGTGCTGGGTGCACCGCCTACAGCACTGGTGTTTGGCGCTCCTGAGAGTGTGTGGTGCTCGCTGTGGAGCCCTGTTCTTTGGGCCCTTAGGTGTCTCTTCTGGCTGACGTCTGCCCACCCTCCCTCCCTCATTCTGTCCTCAGGGAGAACCTGAGCTCACCTGTGTTTCTTTTCTTGTGTTTTTCTGGGTCCATGGGCAGAATAGAGTTGTAGAATGGTTTCTGACAGCAGAAAAGCTTCACCCATTGATTTCTGCATGCATTTAATCATTAAATTTAAAGCATTAAATCCCTAGTCAAAATACCTCATCAGATAAACTTTGACCAAATGCATTCCAGAGGAAAAAATATATGTTAGTTTCCTTTTCATGTGTGGTGAGCAGTGTTCGTGTTTTGTGTTCTGTCTCTGCAGGGAGCTGGTCAGTCGCCTGCAGGAGCGGAACGTCCAGGTCTTCCTCATCTCTGGTGGCTTTCGGAGCATTGTAGAGCACGTTGCTGCCAAGCTCAACATCCCTGCAGCCAATGTCTTTGCCAACAGGCTGAAATTCTACTTTAACGGTAAGCTGCCTGGGAGGGAGTCCCATCCCGTCCCCTCTGCTGCTGAGTGCCCAGGGCAGCGTCTGGGGATGAACCTGAACAGGGTTAAATGTGAGATCAGTGATTCCTTGACTGACTGACTGACTGACTGACTGTCATCTTTTGCTCTGCGGCGACTCAGGCCATCTTCCGTCCAGCTTGAGTGTCCATGCCGTCGCTCATCTGTGTAGATTCTGTATCCAGCAAGCGCTGACTCCTGGGTGGCGGGGGCTCTCTTGTGTGTCCCCTTTCCATTCTGTGTGCTCTTATGTGCTAGAAGCTATTTAGCCTCCAGAAGGAGAGTTTCGTTAGCTGGGTCAGCGCACCGTAGCAGCCCCTGGGGATGCTTCCTGGCCCTTGGTGAGTCCTCTCAGAGTCATGGCTGTGGTTTGATATTATTCCAGTAGGGTCAAGGGGCAGCTGATAGTCTTAAAACCAAATCACATTCAATTGTGTTAATATGACTTTTTTTTTTTAAAGGATCAATAGATAGAGATGGATCATTGAAAAATGTAGGGAATGAGGGGCTGGGGCTGGGGCTCAGCAGTAGAGCACTCACCTAGCACATGCAAGGTGCTGGGTTCGATCCTCAGCATCACATAAAAATAAATAAAATAAAAATTTTAAAAATTATGTAAAAAAAAAAAAAAGAAAAAGGTAGGGAATGAATGTGATACTCTATTAAGAATAGTAATAGGGGCTGGGGTTGTGGCTCAGTGGTTGAGCGCTTGTCTAGCATGTGAAAGACCCTGGGTTTGAACACGTGAAAGGCCCTGGGTTTGATCCTAAGCACCACATAAAAATAAATAAATTAAATAAAGGTATTGTGTCCAACTACCAAAAAAAAAAAAAAAAAAAAAGAATAGTAATAATTGAAAGTAAATTAGAATTTCCTCTTAAGTGAAATTAAATATCAACATTACAAGTTTAATACATTACTATTTTATGGTTTTTAGAATTCTTACACTGGCACCTTGGAGGATACAGTGGGTCACCCAGCATGTTTAGACCTCACAGAGCCACTTCTGCGGAGGTGACTGTAACTCAGAGGCCAAGATGATCTATTCTGAGGAGTAACGCTGGAGCCTAGGCTGCAACTTACCCGGGACATTTTAGCCTCTCAGGGACATCATCTGTGCAGAAAGCTTGCCCTAGTAACTTGCCTCTGAACTTAACATGTTTTCTCTGCTCTCTTAAGGTGAATATGCAGGTTTTGATGAGACACAGCCAACGGCCGATTCTGGTGGGAAAGGAAAAGTTATTAAATTTCTAAAGGAAAAATTTCACTTTAAGAAAATAATCATGATTGGAGATGGAGCCACAGACATGGAAGCCTGTCCTCCTGCTGTATGTATTGAGGGCACTCTTGTTTTTGTTTTTCAAGATGGTGTTTTGTTTTAGACAGCTGATTCAGAAGTCCATCAGGTTTGCAATAGAAATTAAACCAAACAGCCAGATACCACCATAGAATAGAAACCCCAACAGCCAGAAGGCATGCAGTCTCTTTCCGTTGGCTGGCTTTGCAAGCCCAGGAGGACTTGTGAGCGGGCCTCCTGTCTTCCAGACCTGAGCCCGTTGTCTGTGGTTGGTGCCACCGTGAGGGAGCCTAGTGCTCTGAGGCCTGGCTTCAGCCCACGGCACTGGCCCCCTTGCAGCTGCACTGCCTCCCTGCCCTTGAGGCCTCCCGCAGCCCTGGGGAAGGAAGTACCTTCCTTTTATGAGACTAGTGGGGTCTTATTTCTGAGGAGTTAAACCCTGAGCAGGAAGCATTGCGGTGGGGCCAGCCGCCTGATAGCCATGCATGCGATTCCCCAGGGCCATGGGGTAGATGTTCAGAACCCAGGCAGTCTCTCCATGTGGCTTGGCTTCGTCTGTGTCTGCCTTGGGTTAGGAGGGCGAGGAGCAGGTCGCCTCCTCCCAAGCCCCAGGTTGGCAGGCTCTGGTGTCCCTGGGTGAGGATGCTCAGCTCTACAGGACAGCTTGTTCTTCCAGGCAAACATTGCCCTGAGTGATGCTGTGTTGGCTTAAACAATGACCCCCTTTCTTTTTCTTAGGATGTTTTCATTGGATTTGGAGGAAATGTGATCAGGCAGCAGGTGAAGGACAACGCCAGATGGTACATCACTGATTTTGTGGAGCTCTTGGGGGATCTCGAAGAATAATCTCCATATTTTTACACAGCTCGTGACAACTTCAGATTAATTTTTACAAGTTACACAGATTGATACTATTTGATTACAGTTGCCTGTGACAACTTAATATATAAAGTCGGTACTGATTTTCTATATGTTCAAGTAAATTATAGTTAGGACTCCTAGAAGATTGCTTTCTTTTTCTTTTTTAACTGTAGTCTAGTATTTTTATGACCATCAATTACCTAGAGAGTTGTATTATCTGAATTCCTGTGTACCATACCTGTGTACATTGCTGGCTGTATTTTACTTGAGGCCTTTCAAGGGTGTATGGTAAAATAAGTACCTTCCCTCTGGCAGCATCCATTCGGCAGCCTCACCGGAACCCTGGTTTTCCCCTTTGGTGTACAAATAAAAATCTATCCACCCTCCAGGTCAGATTTGTGGTTAGTTCTGCCTCTTATGTAGTCCAGTACCCCAGCCTCAAGAACTATGGGTGTATGGGTGTCTGCAGGCAAGGAGGAGCCTGGGGTCTGTGCAGCGCATTGGTCAGCATCCTGGTTCCATACGTTCCCCTGCGAGGCCCTGGCCGGGCAGGGAGAAGTCCCTTTCCCACCTCTTAGGATTGGTTATGTATGGAGGGCTGAAAGTCCTTAAAAAAATAACAATGGAGCTTTAAACAAGACTACTGGTCTTACAAGATAGATGTTGGAAAATCACATCAAGGAAAAGAAAGAAAACAGGTTTTGCCTCACCAGGGAAGGTGCCCCCCCCCCCCGCCACGCCCCCACACACCACACCGACTGAGCAACACCTAGTAGCCGCATGTCTGTCTGAACCCTGTCTGTAGGTGGCTTGGGAAGAAAGACCTGAGAGTCGGGCTCCCTTTTGTTCCGAACTGTGCAAGGAGAGGGTCGTTGCAGAAAATGTTTTGAAAGTATGAGATTATGCGCCCTTCCTGGCTGAAACCCGGGGAAGGGGAGAGGCGGGCCAGGAGGAGGGCAGAAGCCCCTGCCTCCCATGGGATCTGGACCCTGGGGCCTGCACGGCCTAGGGGGATGGGACTCAGGGGCCTGCACGGCTGAGCTGGGTGGGACTGGGGGGGGGGGGGGCCTGCACGGGCCGAGTGGGGTGGGACTAGGGTCTGCACTGCACGGCGGAGCGGGCCTCTACCCCTCGCTGCATCCCCAGCCCCAATCAGGATTGAATATTGGAAGTCACTTGAAGAATTTGACCAAATACTTAAGTTTGGCCAAATAATCAAATAATTATGTAGCCAGATAAGTCAGATGAGTGCAGCTGCCCTCAAAGCCACCTCGGTGGGAGCGGCACGAAGCGGGCTTGATAACAGCAGCTCGATCTCAGGCGTTGAGCGCCGCTGGCACCTCGCCTGGGCTGTTCTGGCCTCTGGCTCCAGCGGCGAGCTCTAGGCTGGACCTGGCCTGCAGGCCTGGGGGCTGCCGCGGCCTTCGCTCTGCGGTGGCTTCACCTTTACCGCCACCCAGCTGCGGGAGCTGCCTGTGCGGGAACAAGCTGCGGCGCAGATGGGGAGCTGCCGCCAGCAGTAGGCGCTGGGCTACCGGGCTCTGTTCTGCCAAGGAGTCGAGGAGTCGCGACGCCCACTTGCAGCCTTTTGTCGAACAGAGCACGCAGCCCCTCCTCCCTAATGGCGCCAGCTGAGGAAAGCCAAAGGCGGTCTGGACAATCGCGTCTTTGTTGTGGAGGCTGAGGCTGAAATAGCGCAAGAACGTGCCACCCTCTTCTGCTTCTCTGATTCTGGACTCCTGGGAGTTAGGTGGCTGCACAGGATGGGATCAGGAAATGGCGGCAGTGTCCTGTGGCCTCCTGTTCTCATGACACCGTTTATTCACTCTATGAGAACTGTTTATGAAACCGAAGATGTTATGTCATCGGTATCGGTCCTGGTTCTAAACTGTAGGCAGGCCCGGGTGCCTTCGCCCATCCCCAGCCTGCCCTCCCCAGGTCAAGGCTTTGACAGTCTCTGTCTCCTATTGGATGGAGGCTGTAGGTTTTGTTTGGTTTTGATACTGGGAATTGAACCTGGGAGCTAAGGTACTCCCCAGCCCTTAATTTTGTTGCTGAGGCTGGTCTCCAACTGGCAGCCTTGTGCCTGGAGGCCAGTGTCTGGGAGGCCAGTGGGGAGGCCCACGTGGCTGTACTCCCCAGGCTGGGGCTGGTGTGGGTGGATCTTTGCGATCAGAAACCTGGGAGTGGGGCACCTGTGAGCCGCAGGTCCCGCCCCACCCAAGGTGTCCCCATGCTTTCTCACAGCTCTGAGGTCAGCAGTGGCTCCTGCTGTCCCCTGACAGTTGGGAAACTGCTCACCAAAGCAAAATGCTGCTCTGAGGTCGCATCCCAAGCCCGGCCCAGGCCAGTGGTGTCACTGCAGCCTCCATCCTGAGCCTACTGGAGAGTTAAAGATTTACCATCTCCAGCCCAAGTGAACTGACCAGAGCATGGTCGAGTTGAAACAGCAAACGAAACCTCACTCCCCAGTAGAAGGCCTGTTCTGCTGAGAAGTTGGGAGGTTTTTTCATTTTCTACAACAAATACAAAGCACAGATTCATTTCCATTTACCTTTCATTAGCTTGGGGCCGTGAGGCAGCGCAGGGACTCCATGCAGGCCTTTAGCGGGAAGCTGCCACAGTCCCTGCCACTGTCTGCAGGGTGCCAGTCACTTTCAAGGTGGCTCTGGTGGCGCTTAGGTTGCTGCTGGGCATTACCGTGCTGCTCCTTGTGTGTTCACGTGGGCGTGGTTCCTCTTGGTGGCAAATACTTGCAACTCCAAGGAGAGCCCTGGGCTCCCTTCCCTTCAGGAGCTCTTGTTCATAGCCGGCAGCTTGGCCTCTGTCTGCCCCAAGTCCCGACCCAGCAGGCCCCCAGCAGGCCTCTGCAGGCTGCGGGGGAGCAAAGAGCCAAGTGGCTTTCCTTTTCTTTTGGCCTCAGCACATGCTAGGCGAGAGCTCTACCCCTAAGCAACACCCCAGCCCCAGGTTTTTTTTAAGATCACTAAACTCTGAAGACAAACTACAAGAAATGGAGGACTGTTTGGTACTTTGCTGATCACATTTCCTAATTTTGAATATATTTCTATATATTAATCCTCTTTTGAATTGTTTTTATTGAGTTTACCTAGACATCTCACTAATTTATTAGCACTTTAGAACTTGGATTGTAAGTGGTGTGAACAAAGACACTGCCCATCTTCTGAGTGCGTGTTTTTTTCAAGTAGAACTGATGGTGGTCAGGCGTGTGGGTCAGTGGTGAGCACTCACCTCACAGGCATGAAGTCTGGGTTCATCCCAAGCACCAAAGGAAAAAAAATCCCAAAGAACTGCCAGTCTCCATACTTTCTCTTTCCCTCCCATCCACTGAGTCATTAACATATTATTGAATGGACATCTCTGATGTTCTAGATAGAAACCAAAAGTATAAATTTAATAAATAATAATGTGGAGATGATTTACAAAAAGATGTTTTGTTGGCAGTTGTGAAAAGAAAAAAGGGGGCAGGTTCTATCAAGGGGTGGCTGAGAGGAAAGGAAGGCAGAATGCAGTACCAGGGCTTTTCACAGTGGCAGTGATGCCAGCTGAAAGGGACACCTGTTTTATGAAGCAGACCAGAGCATCCTCCTGCATCGTACTTGGAAATTTCTTGGCTCATGCAATAACCACCAGACTTATACCCAGTGAACAGAAGATGAGTTTGGATAGCAGTAGGAATAGGTTTAATAAATGATTTGACAATCTGGGTGGGAATTGCTATGATAGAGACAGTTTCATAAATCAGTTTAATAACAACATTTGAGTGGAGGGTCACCAGTGACCACCATGTTGCTAAGTCAGTGGTGAGTTTTCAGACCCATCTGACCCAGCCTGTGGCTTCCAGTGGGCTGTCTCGCCTATACCTGGGGAATTGTCCTCAGGTAGCCCTCTCAGTATTCTCCTCTCCCTGGTGCTTTCTTGGCCTTCCCTGCTGGTTTCCCACATGGGCTCTGAAAGGCGAGTGACTCACGAGAGACAGAGATTCAACCAAGAGATTTTATTGGGGGGCTGCCCGAAGGAGAGGCAAAGAGCAGAGAGAGAAGAGGAGGGCAGAGAGAGAGAAAGAAGAGGAGGAGGGCAGAGAGGAAGAAGGCAGAGAGAGGGAAGAGAGGAGAGAGAAGAGAGCGTATGCTTAGAAACTTCAGCTTCAGAAGGGTTGCATAGGGGATGTGGTGGGTGCTGATTGGCAGAGTGACTCAGGAACAGCGAGCAGACACTGTGTCCTGTGGGGATTGGTGGGGGAAACCTTTGAATTTGGTGCTCTTGGCTTGGCGCCCTTTGGAGAGGAGGGGGATGGGTAAGGGAGTCCATGATGTTCTCCAAGAAGGGGGTCTTCCACACACCCAACAGGCTCTCCATCTGCATCCATCCCTTATGAGCTCACCCTGTCTCACCCGAAGTTCTGTGTTTGGACAATGGGAAGAGTGGCCTTCAGGCCAGACCACACTTCTGAATTCCAGATTCAGAACCAACATCCCTCCTGACATCTCCACCTGGGCACAGGCCTGGGATCTTAAATTCAATGTGATTTAGACAGAATTCCTGCTTTTTGCTTCCTAATCTGTTCCATCTGCAGCCTACCCCATCTTTCTAGTCCTCAGGCCAGAACCTTAGGGCACTTTGGATTTCTCTTTCATTTGCACTCCACAGTTGATTCTTCTGGAACTCATGTGGCTCTGCCATCAAAGGGCATTTAGAATCCGAATTCCCTCCTTACTTCTACTGCTCATCCAAGCCCCCATTTAAAATGTAAGTCCGGTTATGCCCCACCTCTGCTTGGAGCTTCTGGCTTAGGGTAAAAGTCAAGGTCCTCCTGAGGCCACCCCTTGACCGGAGTCACCTCCCCCAGCACTCCCTCTCCTCTGCTCCACTGCAGTGGTCTCCACTGTGCTCAGCATACACTAGGTGTGACTCTGGGCACAGAGGTATTTCCCAATGTCGGCTGGCATCTTCATGTCTTCCATCCTTCGTCTCAGCTTTTAGTGAGTGTGCCTTGGCCGTGTTCTTGGTACCTCATCCTGATCCCAGTCCACCCTTAGACTTCACCTCCATCACCCTGTGCTTCCTGCACACTATTGATCAGCTTCTACCACCATGTGAATTATTTACAGTACTGTTAAATCTTAACCGCCAGCCTTCTCTGTCTCCTCTCCTTCCCAAGAGCAGCAGGCGGATTGGTTCACGAGGTGCTCAAGGCTGAGCACCTTGTGAACAAACCCGCCTGCTGGTAAGCTCAGTATCTGTTGAACAGAATGAAGACTAAACCCAGGTCTCAGGCTGCCCTGTGAGGCCCTGTGATTAGGGCAGGATGACTGTTCCCAGGAAAGGGTGCATCCTGAGGGGATTCCGTTTCAGAGGGTCACTCTGT